GGTCAAACAAAGTAACAAACTGTCTGCTTGTAACATCCGGATTTCCAGGTATTATATTCTGTCATTTATTTTTTTGAGTAAAAGAGAGGGACTCGACGAGTTGAGTTATAGAATCGTCGAGTGGGACCATGATTGCTGACTGGATTAATGAACGGACTCGACGAGTCGGAAAGGGTGGACTCGACGAGTCCGCGTTGTGGATTGAAACCCTAATTCTCGGGATCTATGTCCTATTTAAAGGCCTTTATGGCCTCCATTTGCGGCTACCAGTCCTGAGAGAGAGACCCTAGAAAGCTTGAGCGAGTGGTGAGAGAGATCGAGCTATTTTGATCATTTTTGGTGTGATTTTGCAAAGGAGAAAGTGTTTCCAGCAATGGGAGGTCAAGAGGATTGCATTTCAGTGGGTTTTCAGCTTGGATCTTCAAGTTTGAGGTAGCTATTCGATCCTATCCTTCTGTTTTGCTTAAGAGCATTGAATTTAGGGTTTTCTATACCCCTTTTATGGCTTGTTTAATTGAGTATAGTGTCCCATTGAGTGCTAAACTCTAGATCTGGACCTTATGATGTCCAGGGAGCCTGAACCATTCTACTTTTTGTGGTTCTATGGAGGAAATGGACATAGGTTGCCATGATAAGGGTAGAATGGGGGTTTCCCCGCGATTCGTTGCTGAGTAACCCGACGAGTGGAGAGGGAACTCGTCGTGCCTAGTGGGGCTGGGAAGGATTCAGATGACCAGTGTGGACTCGCCGAGTTGCCTGAGTGCACTCGACGAGTCCGGTCAAAGTTTGACCGTTGACTTCGTTGACTTTTAGGGATTAGTCAATGTGTGCCCTTTTGAGCCATTATAAGGGTAGAATGGTCTTTTACCCTTCTTAGAGAACCTAGAGGAGTTAGCCTAGCCTTTAGAAGTTGTATTAATTAGAGTAATTATTATGTGATTAGGCAGAGGCTAGTGCAATATTTCAGAGTTCGAGGTTTACCGAGTTATCCGAGGTGAGTCTTCTCACTATACTTTACCTTGAGTGATAATTAGAGTTATGTGACAGCGTATCTTGTGTGCTATTTATGTGATGTGTTGCACTACATTATTTCTAAGTGATTTATAATGTGTGTATTCTAGAGTTCACAAAGTTAGGACCAGAGGGTCCACAGAGTTAGGGCCAGAGAGCCCACAGAGTTATAGCCTCGAGTGGCTAATATGTGTTATATGGGTATTTTGGGGAACTCACTAAGCATTTATGCTTACAGTGTTGTGTTATGTGTTTTAGGTACTAGTGAGGATCACGGGAAGGCGCCGACATGATCAATACACACATGAGGAATTTTTATACATTATGATCTTGGGATTGTGTTTCTATGGATTGATATGTGATACAATGATATATTTATAATATTTATGAATGAAAGTACGTTTTGAAAATGTGAAAAATTGTTTGAAAAAATTACGGTGTTACAACTTGGTATCAGAGCTTTGGTTTGAAGGATTCGGATGCACCTTCGAGAGCATTTGAACTCAAACTGGGGATTTGAGGAATTTTTCGAAATAAACAAAATTTTTCTAAAAGAGTAAAAACGTTTTGAAAAGAGCAGAGTAGAGCAATGTGTACGATCAGCCAGCGCCCGAACGGTGATTTCCTAAAATACCCTTATATTATGTGTACAAAATAAAGTTTCTTTCTTACTGTCCAAACTCACCATATCACAACTAGATATCATCTCTCTTCGGTGCAAGTCATTCTTGACTTAATCACTAAGTTTGATCTCATATACTAACCTGCTTTGATTGCATTCCTTGTTAAGAATCAACTTATGTGTATAGTTGATATAACACCTGCTGTCATTTATATTTCCTTACATTTCTTAACCTAACTCTCTAATTATCTAACTCTAACTTATTAATATTGTTGAGCTTTTATGATCCTTTGAGATTAACTATTCCGCAATTATACTTGTTCTAACCTTTGTTCAAGTGTGTGTCAAGTTTCTCTCTTAACAATGATATATATTATTTTTTTTTGTTGTAGAGTGAGTGCATATTTCAAGGCTCTTCGATCCAACAATGATGTTGTGGACACTTCCAACACAAAAAAGAAGTCTAGTTGCAGGTTACCGAAATACCCTCCTAGTCATCTATACCTCTACACAACCTTACTAACTAATGACTGAAATACCCTTGTTGCAGGTTCCATGATCTGGAAATCATTTTGGCATAATGATGGACATAATGACATATTAAGAGCCCAAAAGATTTGGGATCAAAGGATCTTAACAAAAACAAAACTCTAGAATTGTAGATGTGGTTGTTGTATAACAGTTTACTTACCCTTTCTTTTTCTAAAATGAGAAATGTACTTATGTTTATCATTTTTAATCAAAATTAGCAATTGAGATTCTTCGCTTTTGGTCGTATTGTTTATGTGACTTGAACTTCCCTGTCCTTAAGTTCTTGAGGATTACCACCTTTGGGATAGGGGCAAAATCATCCAACAATTTTAAATACCATCAAACTTATGTGTAGATTAACACAACATTAACCAAAATGACAGCCTACTTTCATTTTTAACAAAGAATTGCAGAAAAGATCCGTTTTGAACCCAAAATGACAGCTTTATTTCATTTTCACCCAAAATTGTATTAAAGTATAGTTTTGAACACAAAATGACAACTTATTTTCTTTTTTAACCGAAACTATCCTCATACTTTTGTTTTTTTTCACAAGATACCATAGTACTTCCGTTTTTTTCACAAAATACCCTCATAATTTTGTTTTTTCACGAAATTCCATCATTTTTTGTTTTTTCACAAAAATACCATCATACTTCTATTTTTTTTTTTTTTAACAAAATACCCTTATAATTTTGTTTTTCTCAAAATACCATCATACTTCTGTTTTTTTAACAAAATACCCTCATAATTTTGTTTGTTCACAAAATAACATCTTACTTCCGTTTTTTTTCACAAAATATCCTTGTAATTTTGTTTTCACAAAATACCATTGCATATTCGTTTTTTTCCACAAAATACCCTCATAATTTTATTTTTCCACAAAATACCATCATACTTCCGTTTTTTTCACAGAATACCCTCATAATTTTGTGTTTTCACAAAATACCATCGCACATTCGTTTTTTTTTTTTTTTTCACAAAATACCCTCATAATTTTGTTTTTTTTTTTTCATAAAATAACATCATACTTCCATTTTTTTTCACAAAATACCCTCATAATTTTGTTTTTTCACAAAATACCATCGTACTTCCGTTTTTTCATAAAATACCCTCATAATTTTCTATTTTCACAAAATACCATCGTACTTCCATTTTTTTCACAAAATACCATGATACTTTCGTTTTTTTACAAAATACCCTCATAATTTCGTGTTTTCACAAAATACCCTCATAATTTCATTTTTTTTCACAAAATACCCTCATAATTTCATTTTACACAAAATACCATCGTACTTCCGTTTTTTTCACAAAATACCCTCATAATTTTGTTTTTTCACAAACTACCCTCATAATTTTGTTTTTTCACACCATCATACTTTTGTTTTTTTTTTTTTTTTTTACAAAATACATCATACTTCCGTTTTTTTACATAAAATATCCTCATATTTGCTTTTGAAACACACAGTGGCAACCAAATTTCAATTATAATCACACTAATCATAAACAATCAACAATTTTCATTTGAAAACATTAAAATTGGTAAGAAGCATCAATAACTTCTAGATTATTCATACATTGTTTGTGTCTAAAACATGAAAAAGGTGCAGTTAACCAAAAAAAATGTCATGAAGCATCTAGTTTTTTGTTTGCCCACATAAACAACACATATCACCATTATATCTCTTGCAACGATTCATCCGCCTGATACATGAAAAAAATATAAAAAATTGTTAATATATTCATTAGAGTTCTCAATCATGAAAATTAAATTATTATTATAATTACCTTTCTTTTTGAACAACTAGTAGCATAATGACCCAATCCTTGACAGTAAGAGCATGTTCGTTTTTTAGGGGCTTCTAAAGAAGACTTTATTCTACTTTCAAGTTTAGGACGCCCTTTTGTAGTAGTTGCACCAAGAGGATCATGGATAGATAACTGTGATATCATATGTACTTGCAAAATGTCCATACAAGAACTTTGATATGCATTCTCCAAAGACATAGATTTTTTCGATTTGCTTGTTCATCTAAAAGACTTATCAATATCGTATTGAGTTTTTGTATCTCCAAAGCTAGTCCCTTGCTTGTTCAATTAGTTTAGTAAAATCCGAGTGAACACAAAATAATGTGTAGGCACTAACTCCGTTTTCATTATATATTTCTCCGAGTACGATACTAATACTACCTAGTTTGTACCTAGCATCAAGGGTCCATCGTGGTAAAATATAGCGACTCGGTAGTTCTTGAACATGCTTCTTCTTCATCACATATCAGCTATGATTGCATAAAATCCAATTTGTCTGATACATAGAACACGAACATGTGACGCTAACTTGATTTAAAGAACGAAAGGTAACAATACAATTACCCAACTCTATATGTGCTTTATTATGTAGTTTTTGTTATAGTCTCATGAGTTAAATTGGTAATAGCTTCGGTACATTCTTTTTTGAAAGTATCAAACATTTTTCTAGTATAAAATTTACGTGCTTTTGCTTCGATTGGATGCAATGAAGAAAGAACCGGTCTCGAGTTCATAGTCTTGAAGTCTTCATCTTCTTCGGCCGCCCTTCGTGACTCAACTGCTTTGTCATATTGTACAACGAATTCATTCAACATAGTTTTTGAGTTAACAAATCCATCAAAAAATGAATTGATACTCTCACTTCGTCCGGTTGTGGTCATACTAGCAAAGAAAGTATCCTTCAAGAAGGGTTTAGCCCAATGTATATGTTAGTTATACATGTCACTAAGCCAACAATTGTTTTCCAGTTCATACTTAATACGCATATCTTCCCATGTTGCTTCAAATTGTTCAATGGTGTCACTATTTATCCATTGTCTGTGCGTATCTTGAAAATCACTGTAACGGGAAACATACGATCGAAGGTGCTCAGTTTCATGCTTCCTGATATGCCATGAACAAAAGCGATGTCGAGTATTTGGAAACGCTTTTTTATTGCATTGCCCATAGCTTTGTCTTGATCGGTAATATTTGCCTTTAGATACTTGACAAACATACATTTGAGGAAATGCTCAAATAACCATTCAAATGTCTCTTCCTTTTCGTTTTCAAGCAATGCTCCACCAAAAAGTATAGACTGTCCATGATGATTCACCCCAGTAAAGGGACCAAAAGGCATCTTGAATTTGTTAGTCATATAACTGACATCAAACACAACAACATCTTTGAATTTTGTATATGCATCTCTTGATCTACCATCAACCCAAAAGATATTTATAGGATACCTATCATTAGAAAAATCCACGACAAAATACTGGTCATTGTCCACTAATGTTTTATCTTGAAAATGTTTTATAAGTCCATAAAACTCCTTTCCTCTATGTTCTTTTTGATGCTCAGATAAAACATCGACACATTGCTTTGAAGTTACATCAGCTACATTTGAGGTTTTCAGTGTATTAACAACCTTTTTAATCTGAGAAGGTTTCAACCCTGCTTGACCAAATTGCACCATCAGAGATTTACCTTCTATTGAACGATGAAAATTGCTATAAGATCGATGCTTTATAACCTTCGTAGGTGTCATGGTCAAGTCGTGATTGTGTGTGTGTCAATAAACGAGTCCACCAACCATTTCCCATCATCCTGTCTTGTTATTCGAAGCTTTGCTTGACATACGATTCTAACATCTCTACGACGTTTTTTCTCATTTTCACTTGAAGCATCTTTGTCCATCCTTTTGAAGCCTTCTTTGTTGCATACATATATCTTCCGAAAAGGCTCATTTGTTTTAGGATTTGTAATTGTGTCATCTCTACATATACCAAATCCATGCAAAAATGAATAATCATTATAAAATGCATAGGCATCATTAGGTGTATCAAAAACCTTTCCCAGTATCCTTTCATCATTGACATCATCTTCGTCAAATTCAATTTCCCACCGATATTATTTATTTTTTCACTTTCATATGTTGCTTCCACATTATCATTTGTGTCAATATCTTCGGTTATATATGGTTCTATAGCTAGATTAGTTTCTTCGGCTTCACTTATTATGGCCTACAATAGACAACAATGCATATTGAAACATTATACGTAAAAAATATATTAACAACCAACAATGAAAAACTAAAAAAAAAACTCAAATACATTGGATATTTTACCTTTTTAGAAAAATCGTTAACTAATTGCAATGTCTACCTCTAGAAACAATAATGTCAATAATAAAATCACAGAACAAATATAGATTCAACAACTAATAGAGAACACCATAAAAAATAATGTCAAATTTTAAAAATCAGAAAAACTTCAAAAAATACGTTTCAGAAAAAATCGATTGGAAGTACTTATTGTATGCAATTCTAGAAAAAAACGTTTTGGAGGCTATACTGTTTGATCGAATCCAAATTCTTGAATTGAAACTTTTTAGTTTTTCAATAATTGCGATTGGAGGAATATTGCAAGTAAACTACAACACCTATAACCCAATTTCATGAATTGCAACTTCTTTTTACTGCGATTTAGAAGAAAATTAATGGATGTTCTAAAATAAACATGATAAACTTAAAAATTGAGGAAATTGATCGATGTGGTGAGACAAGTGAACTGCAACAGAGACGAAATCGACTTTGCTGTTGTGAATTGCAATTTTTTTTACTGTGAATAATTTTTTTTATGTGAATAACGATTAATGTTAGTACCGATAATATGTTTGCGATCGACTTTAATGTTGTAGATTCGGTATATTAAAAACCTCAGAACAATACGATGATCATGGAAATTTATATGATCATCGCAACCAATTTCATGAATTCATAGTTTTTATATTTGAATCGTGATTTATTGGTATCGAATAGTCTTTTTGTGATTGTATGAAATCGTCGTTTTTTTTTCTTGTGAATTGATGTAGTCGATTTTTGTCACATCTATCATTCGAAAAAGGAGTAATCTGGGTTGGATTTCACCGGGAACAAGGAAACGTAGATTATTTTTAAGGAAATTATTCTTTTTTATTTTCAGAAAATTAAACAATTTTACAAAACAACGTAGTTTTGATTGACTGGGTATCTAACTTATACACCCTAAAGAGTATATTTACTTTTCCCATATAAAATAACATTTTTTTTGAAAAATTTAATTAAACTAATTTTCATTTCAATTGATATTAAACAATGTTTAGTCTCTAGATTAATGACCAAAATAATGACCAAAAGAAACCAAAAGAAAAGAACCATGTGCATATAATGACCGGAAAAGAAACCAAATGAAAAGAACCATGTGCCGGTAAATATTTGAATTGTTCTCATCATTAATTATCAAATCTTTAATTGGATTTTGATTTTTGTTTCTATAGGTAAGAATTTTAATTTTTCAATAAGGACAAAAAATACACAAAGAGCAGATTTAGACTAGGAAAAGAGAACACATGGTAATATGGTATGATAAATGACTTGTGAGATAAAAGATCGACAAAAAAAATGAGAGAGAAACCGATAACAACAAAACCAATAGATCGTCACAAGACATGAGATAAAGATCGTTATAAATCTAGCTCTATTTTATTTTATTTTTTGGTAGTTTTAGTGTTAAACTAATAGATATCTATATAGTTTTATATAATTTAGGAAATGGTAAAAGATACGAAATTGAATTCTTATGAGTTTTAAATATGATTTTTTTGTTAATTTCTACAAACGCTTACGACCTACTTTACTTCTAGACAACATCAATATTTGTATTTTTTTTAAATCGTTCCGTGTAATTGGATTATATAAGGAGATTAATCTGTACACAATAATTTTTTATAATACGTAACACTTTATGTTTTAGACTTTATGTTTTAGATGAGATGTAAAATATGCAAAACATATAATTATTTGTTATAACAAAAAAGTGTTGTGTATGAATTATGGACGAGTACCAAACCTAGCCTAAAAAACTCACTTTGGTATAAACCAAAGTACCAAACCTAGCGTTTGGGGCGTGGCCAAGACTAATATGGGTGAGTATTTGTATTGATCCCATTTATGAACACCTTTACTTAATAATAAGTTAATCCTGAATTCTGTTTTAGCTATTAGTATCGTTATATTTTGATTTATAATTGTCAATTTTAATTTTAAATATACTTGTTATAATAAAAGAAGTAGAAAATACACATTAATTTTTTCGTTCAATTTACCTCACAATTTGATGAACTAAAACACGGGTTGTAACAACAATTCAGTCTTAATACATTTCGTAGCACAAAAACAACTCAAAAGAGAAACCAACTTTTGTTCCTTTGCATGCAAGAAAGGCCTTATTTGCCATTTGATAGGATTCCGTTTCTTTGTTGTCACCAAAAACTTTTGGCTATGGTTTGATCCTTCCACTCTGCCATATGGCCTACACTGCTTTAACAAAAGCAACAACTTTATTATTATATAAATATACCCTCATCTAAGATAGTTATTACCCTATTGCCATTGTATATATATCATTCTACAATCATTTTAAAATTACATGTGGAGGAAGGAAGTGTTACTTTTTGTCTAAAAATCATGCATCAATTTTCTCGATTATTCATAAAATACAATATCATTCTATTTTAAAACGGTGATATTTTTAGATATTTGCATACTAATAAAATGTTTATCTTTTATTAAGTTAAGATTAGATATTGAAAATAAAATCTTTTTTGAATTGATCTTTTATTATATCATTCCATTTTGTTGTTTTTTTCTAGTAAATCATCCTTTGTGAAGAAAAAAAAAATCATAATATAGCAATATTATCTATATAAAATTATGCTTTTTGTAATAGATCCCATCAAATCTTTGATAAAAAAATACTTATTTCGTTGGGCTAAATGGCATAATCGATATTTAGGCCAACTTTTGTGGCAATATACATCAACTTACAATATACCAACCAAGCAAAAGAAGGCACGACGAATGCAAGGAAAGAACAAAACATGAGCATTTCAACTTTCACGACTTTGATACAACTTCTAATGCATCATGTACAAGTAAAACCTCTCTAGATTATAACTATAAGATAGAAACATCACATTCTTTTTGATACCCAAAAGCTCTGTAAATCTGCCACTATCTCCTCTATCATTTTCATGTCCTTCTTCAAGTTTGAGTCGATAAAGAAGCTCATACACGTTAAAAAAGCATGTAAGAGCTTCACTGATCAGATCTTTCGATCCAGATGTAATAGGATTAAAGTTCGTAAGGCTATAAAAACTGTCACCACCTTTCTTGTTTCACCACGTCAAAAAATACGCTTTCGTTCAATGAGACAACGCTCTTCCACAAGCCACCATTACCACCTCCTTCAGAAGGGTCTTCCGGCCATATTCATTGATCAACTCTATCATCCAAAATCGGGTCAATCATCAAGACAACCCGTAATTAACAAAGATAATAAGAAACCAGGTTTTGCTACCACTAGTGCAGACACTGGTGGTGGTAACACTAGTGCCCATACTAGTAGTAGCAAGCGGGAAGAAAGCGTAATAACGAAACAGTTTTCGTTGTTACGTGAGAAAAAGAAAGATGAGAGTAGAAAGGGAGACATGTTACAGACACGAGACATACGAGGGGTGGATGAAAGAGCGGAGGATTATATTTTGAAGGTTAGAGAGCAAATGAGACTCCAAAGGGAGAAATCGATTCTTGATTTTCAAGAAATGCTTGCTCGAAGTGTATGATTTTTTTCCCATCATACATATTATATATTTTATAACATGAACATGATCTATTTTTAGTTTTTTTTAGATTTCCATTTTATTTTCCCAAATTATTTTTATGGGATAAGAAATTGGTATTTCTTTCAATAAGAGTGGGGTAAACGCCCCCCGCTAGGGGTGTTTCCTTCAATAATAGTGATAACCAACAATGAGCTCAATCTTCTTTACACCTAAGGTAAAAGTGTGGGACTTTTTTTTGTTATTTTTATAATAATAATAGCGTTTAGAGAGTTGCTTACTATCATATTCCCAATCACTAGAAAGAAAAGATAGCAATAGTGACATGGATCGTGTTGATCCATGTCACTATTTCTTTGAGAGGAAAAATGGGTATTTGTTTTGAAGATATAAGGTGATGCTTAATGGTTATATTATTCTTTTAATTTTGTTTTTGTTCATTTCTCATATGTAAAATTATTGGGCGTGATATATAGAAAATTGGAAATATAATTTTTTTTTTAATATGTGTGTTCAAAAATCTCGACTTCAATTGTTTGGATAATTGGAACTATTGTTATATGCTCTAACATTTAAAAATTCGAAAATACATGTACATATACACGTATTGTAAGCTAGTTGATACATTGGAAATTCAAATGTTCCGTTATCAATCTCCACCACTCCTTCGCTCTGGACCTCAGCAAGTTCAGAGCACACCTGACCTTCTGGTCAGTAGGACATGAGCATGTGAAAAAGCATCTCTCAACGTCAGATAGCCACCTGATGGGTATGATCGGATCTTGAATTCCATCGAAAGTCAGGGGCTTCGTGTTATCAAAGTCTCGATACTAAAAGGCTCGACCTGCCCTACCATCAACAGCTGCGGAGGCTGCAACGGCAGCCATCTTAGCAATGGCTGCATAGTGCTCATCAAAGTACTCAACTATAGCGGTCTTAATAGACCCAAACATCTCCCGCAACTGATCCCGGAAAAGTAGAGCAACCTCATCGTGCAGGATCTCCCGAATCCTAACATCCAACTCTTACAGTCTCATCTAACCAGTGGTCCCTGTCACTGCTGCTAGCCCTCCCTGACTGCCAGCTCCTGATCCTGATCGGGATCCAGTCTCAAATCGCCTCGTAGTCACCATTCTGAAAATACACCAGAATGATATTAGATACTCCATATAATAACGGGGAATCAACATCCAACTAAACCCTAGGGGTTATGGCTTCCTTGCTACGTGTATGGGTCATGTGCTTTCAGTAGTATGGGCTCATACTACCTTCCACACCTACCAATATTTGTCTCAAGGATCATCACAACACCCTAACAATGTACAGAAGCATAGGCAGGTACTCAATCCTCACTCCTAGTGGAAGGCTAAATATCTAAAAACTGGCCGACTAACCTCGCACGACTCATCCATGAAACTTCCATCAACCCTGCAACACTCGTGTATACTAGCCATACATAACACTGGACCCTATGGAAATTTGAATATCCGATCCTACCCTAAGCCCTTCATCAAACAAGAACATGAAAGAAAGCCAAACCAAACATTCTCAGGCTATAATATCTTAGTTATATACAACCGTGATGCATACACTAAGCAACTACAATAATGATGTCAATTTCATATAAGGAAAACCCTAGGCTATCAGGCATCATATAATCAGACAATTCTATCATGCAATTCCTGAAGATCCCTAGCCTATCACTAGTATGCTATTCTAACATATCACAATATCAAATAAGAGTATGGTATTTTGGGGTTTCCTTACTAGCTCTGACTGATCGTACACTTCGCATCCTCGTTTAGTACTTTGAAAACCATTTGAAAATCATTTTGAAAATATTTTCCTTAGTTTAAGACTTGATTCACACGAGTGTTCCTCCAATTCACTCAAACCAAGGCTCTGATACCAACTTGTAACATCCATAAAATTCATAAAAATTTAAAACTTTTTCAAACATCCAAAAGCCATTAGTTATTACAAAATGTTTTCAAAATAGTTTCATACCAGAGAAGTCCCAGAAATCAAAATCATAAAATGTGAGGAGGTGCACAATCAATCCTTCTTCTTTCCGCAATCATCCGAAGTACCTGAAACAAAATCCAAAACTGTAAGCCGTAGCTTAGTGAGTTCCCACAAAATACCAACACCATACAAACCAGAACATTATAATAATGGGCAACATGCATGTAAAGTCTTCAGTATGAGTGGACCGCTTCACTGACCTTCAGTCTATCTGGCCGACTCTCAGAACCTTCAACATGTCTTGACCGCCCTACTGGGCATTCATCCTGTCTGGACTGTTCTCCGAGCCTTCGACTTGACTGGTACATCCCGAAAGGCCTTCTGTCTATCCGGGCCGCCCTGGGTCTATTGGCCTAGAGCACAAAGCAGGATCGCCTCAACCCACCCGCAAATACACATTCAACACATAGATATCAAACACTAGCTAGTATGTACAAACAGTCATACAAATCTAACAAATCACTAATTATAACATCATCCTATATATACCAGGATATAAATCTAAAAAATCACTAAGCATAGCACCATCCTATATACTAGAATATAGATCTAATAGATCACAAAGCATATCAACATGCGATAACCAGGATAACAATCCAAAAGGGCCGGCCATGGTGCTTTCGACCCTTTTAGCTTAGTGAGGAAAACTCACCTCACAAGTAGCGTTGAACCGATAAAATCTAATCCCAACTTATAGCTCTAAAATCAACTGCCTGTAACCACCATATGATTAATTCCATTAAAATCCCAAATTACCAAAATACCCTCATAAGTCAAACTTGGTCAACCATGGTCAAAGTCAAAGTCAACAATCAATGTCAGCAGTCCATGTTGACCCAACTCGTTGATTTCCTTCATATCTCAAAAGATCGTAAAACACTCTAGACAACTCGCCGAGTTACCAGAGTATTCGTCGAGTTCTTTAATGTTAAGAAAACTGGGAAAACCCTAGCTAACTCGTTGAGTTCACTCAGTATCCAGAAAGAGGGAAAACCATGTTGGATTAGTATCTAAGTCCACAACTATTTTGGTATGTACTTGACCCGATGGTGCATGGTCCTTTTGGGTTGCCTTCACCAAAGCAACTTGATAGGATGAATTATGGAGAGAAAGGATTAAATATGATTTATTAATAATATATTAAATGAGAAATCATATTGTTTAATTAATATTAGTCAATAATTAATTGGTAATTAGTTTTGTGACTAAAAGAGATTAATTAAACTTAAGGGACTGGAATTGTAATTATAAGATAATTGCAATTTGGGCCATGGATTGCCTTGTATTAAGGGTTGAACGAATTCTATGGGGAAGCCCATAAGGAAATCGTCCAAGGCCTTAATTAAAGGAATCTATGGGTTGCTTAGGGCTTAAGCATCCAAATTAGGGTTTCCTTGTTAGATAACCCTAATAGCCTCACTATATATAGACCCTTAAAGGACCAAAAACGTGGTGAAGCTTTCTTCTAGGGTTAGAACACGTTTTGGGCAGCCTCCATCCTCTCTCCTCTTCATCCTCTTGCTTATGGTGTTTGTGAACCATTAGAGGAGTAACAATTGTGACTCTAATCTTTCTAAAGTCAATACAAGGAGATTTGGGATTGTTATTGCTACATAAAAATCTAGGTAACATCTTAAACCTATTCTCATGTTAATATGATTACTTGAATGCTAGAATTAGGGTTTATAGTCTTGGATAACTTGCATGTACAATAGAGAAACCTAGATCCAAGCATTAGGGTTTGTATGAGCACATAGGATGTTCTTAGGACCAAAACCCATCAGTGGTATCAGAGCCTTGATTGGTTTCTATTGTATTGATGCCTTGTGTGTTTATTCAAGTTGAAAAATCTATTTTTGGGCTCCTTGGCTGATGAAATCGGCGAGTACCACAGTGTACTCGGCGAGTAGGCCTCAACTCGGCGAGTACAGTGTGGTACTCGGCGAGTTCGAGCATCAGATGGAGCTATTTTCGGGATTTCTTGTTGTTTATCTTTGAAATACTTGCCTTTATCATATTAGATCAATATAAATACGATTTTATGATATATATGACTATATTCTTGATCTAAGTGAAGATATTTATCAATTAATAAAATATTTGTTTCCTTATGTGATAATTGATTAATTATTTTGATTAAATTGGTAAATTGTTTTGCAAGAAATCATTAAATAAATCAAATATGGATAATTATGTGATTAAATGTTAATTTAGATTATTTGTTATTTGATCCTTGTTGTTATGAAAAGTTTCATGTTTTCCCCTTTAGGTTTTATAGTTTAAATTTGAACCCAAAAAGTTTTGTTGTTTTGAAATTTAAATAGTTGAAACCCTAATGTTTTGAAAAAGGTTTCAAAACTTGCCCTCAAGTTTTGGAATTTAAATTTTGATTAATTGTTTAATTTTGATGTATGTTTACATTCTAAACCCTAATGTTTTGAAATGTTTCAAAACTTGCCCTCAAGTTTTGGAATTTAAAAGTTGATTAAAAGTTTAATTTAGGAATGTTAAATTCTAAAACCCTAGTATTGTTTTGAAAAGTTCATATCACACCCTTATGGTTTTATTAATTAATTAAGGTGTATAATTAAAAGAGGTTTAATAAATCCATAAAAGTTTAGGTTTACAATTTAATTGAATTAAAAGTATAATTGTTAAATTAGACCACCTAGTATTTTAAAAGTGTAAAATACACCCTATACTATATATAACATTAAAAGTCTAACATTATATATATATATATATATATATATATATATATATATATATATATATATGTATGAGTAAAAGTCAGTCTTACCGTTAGTAGGCCTCATTCACGAAGCTGGTCTATAAGGGGTGTTTAAGGAAATTGCCTATAAAATGGCGATTGAATGAGTATCCACTCTTACCCACCGCACTCTTGACTAGTGGAGGGTCATTAGCCAAACAGGTAGGATAGGACGAAACCTTCCATTATAAGTATAATGATATACAAA